GGCGGCGGGGGAGGGGGAGCTATGTCAGATGGGGGGGGGGCTTGACCTGTCTGGTGTGGGGGGGCTTATAACTGACACTCAGGCCTAATCTTTAGTTATTATGAGCGGTGCAGTTAACAGAGAGAAAGGTCCCACTGTGGATACAATCTTGACAAATTAAAGCGATACCTCTTTATAGCTAAAATAAGACGTTTCTTAAAGCTAAAAATAGACCTCAAAAAATACTCATCAAACGATGGGACTCCTTTCTTGACAAACATCATACTGGCACTTTTGTATCTGGACTGCCTCAAAAGTAACCTTAAGGCATTATTATAACACCTTCAACAATCTATATTTGTGCCCTTATGCAAAAAACTTTGTACTATTGGGGAATTAGTCCTGATGCAAATAGACTGATATTGTTGTTGTATTTCATCTGAATCTCTGATAAATTTGCAGCTATCACATGCCCAAGCAGTGATATCACACAAGAGATTCAATAGTTTAGTTGTTATAATGTGATAAATAGACTAAAGACATTGTTTCAAAAAGCCCACCTGGTTTGTTTGAAAAAAAAAATGGTGAGGCAGAGAAAAGGGATGTGCGAGGAGACGAAACTATTAATTTTTTATATTTTGCCTTTAAAGCCGTGTTAACACTGGATTAATTTTGGTCAAATTACCCAGTGCAGTCAATTTATTCCAAGCATCCGTTGCCCAGGAAGAATAACTAGGCTGTTTCTCCTTAACACTAAAGTCCAATGAGAAGAGCGTGACTCAGTTCAATTAAATTACATCAAATGAATGTATAATCATACCGACTTGCGCAAAATCTTACTATCTTAACACCTACTTTTAAATCTAAGTGCGAAAAACGGAACAATTTGACCAGCGGTGAAGTTGCTTAAGCCAGGCACTTACTGCGGTAATGGTCGTCGGCCAATGCGATCCTATGGAGAACGCAATGGCCATAGAACGCACGAAATGGACCTTTTTTTAAGATCCATCCGTTGCGTTGCAGATTCGTCGTACGACGCTTGTACAACCCTCGTACGACGCAGTTATTGCCCAACTGAGCTTTTTTCTTGGTTAGATCCAACGCAAACACATGACATCATTATACCAGGACAAATAATATCCTAATACAATATCAGGTACGGCAGACATTGTTGGTAGGTAGTGTACAGGAAATTCATAATTCTCAAATACAAGAGACTAAAAGGCAACAAAGGGAACAAGTCCCTGTACAAAGTACCTATCAGAATAATAAAAATTTCAATAACAAATAGCACAAAATATAATAAAAATATTAATAATAAATAATCTGGAATACAAGATTCTGTCCTACTCTATTCTATAATAGGATGTGCTTATAGAATACCATACTGCAGACCTTCAACGCTATACACTGTCAATCAAAAATGATTGACATATGAAGAGTATTGACCAAGAGGTTGCTGTACTCTTTAACTTAATCCATAGCATCTCCAGGGAAAATAACTTTCCTTGAAAGCGAAATGTTCATTTCATGATTAATTTATGAATGTAGTTTTATTATCAGCATTTTTTACATAATTCCAAGTACCAATATTATGTCAGCTCCTAATTTTCATTCATATTAAAAGGCAGAGAACAAATGGTTTGATTCTAGAGAAATGAAAATGAAAAAAAAATGTTCAGGCTCTGGAGAAAACATTTTTTTATACTACATGTTCTACAAATGAACTTATCGGAAAGAAAAAGAAATAATCGGAAATGACTACACTTTAATGGAAGTTATAAAATATTTAAAAATCTGTATCTTATGAGCCATTCCCAAATTTTATTTCTTCAGAAAACGACTAAAAAAGGAGTCATTAATGTTTCACCTCAGCAAGCTGCTTGCTGTACCATTTTCTACTTGCAAAGAGCAACTCTTTCTGCATTCTATTCTATCTATATTCTATTCTTTTTAAATTTGTAATGGAACAGGCAAACAAAAGGAATAAACTTTAAGTGGTCAAACTTTAAGGGGTAACCATTCACAACCACTGTGATTTTTCAAGATTACTTTGGAAAACATTAGCATATGGAAACTATCACAGTTGACTGAGTGTTCAGAGAATGTGGTCAAGAAAGTGGTGCTGTAAAGATAAATGCAGGCTTGACAAAATGGGAATGGCCGGAATGCTTCCGGAGTGGTTGGCCGAAAGGTACTGTTCCTGCTTCTTGTGCTGAAGACTCAAACCCAGACAGCGTTGGGTTTTAATTGGAATCTGATCGCTTGGCTCCTTGAATAACCATCACATTGAGAAGTAAGATATTATTAAACATGTACTGTATCCGTATATATCTGTTACATGTTGTACTGTAGGTAGGGTGGCATTGTGCTGCAGCTGCCAAGGGGCCGCAGGGGCTCAGCCCAAAATTTCCAATTTTATGTTGAATGAGGACAAATTAAGTATTATGATTATAACATTCACATTCATAGTATCACTAGCAGAAATGACGTTTCTAACAAAATCATCAAAATCGTATACGGCCAAGAGACTACAGTAAATATGTTTTTCTCCTAAAGTTTCTCAGTGAATGACAAAAATGTCTGTGTGACATTTATACATTGCCTTTTAATATCAAAATACCATCATAAAATTCTCTCAGCAGAAAAGACTTTATTCACGAGATTACTAAGTCTCTCATTTCCTGTTGGGGTTAGGTTGTTCTTGATACAAGCAATTACGGTATTATAAACTCACAACACACAAAACATCAATTCTCATGCATAAAAAATAGCCCAACAGTGGTTGTCTGGGAAAAGCAAACAAAAAAAAGGGGGGGGGGGGAAATTTATGCATTGCTGGTAATCAGCAGTACCACTGACCACTAGTCGTGCCGCAGTCTCATCACATTTTCTAGCCCTGTTCTTCAAAATGCTATCATTTACTCAATGTTTTTTTTTCTTAGATTTACGAGGTGCATTATAATAATTTCTATAATTGGTTGTTAATGCAACAAGGTTATATGAACTTGGCTGCTTTTATAAAGTGAACAGTGAAATATTGAGGTACTGGTATAACAAGGTAGAAATTACATTTTAAATACAGATCTCCTTCTAATTAAAAACCTCTTCAATTAAAGACTACCTCCAATTAAAGACCATTCTTCTGTGGTCCCATTGTCTTTTATCTTTATTATTCTAATTAGAGACCAAAGCTGCTAAAGGCCGTGGAAACTCCGGTCCCAAAAGTGGTCTTTAATTAGAGGGAGACCTGTACACTATAATGTGTACTAATATTGTTGCAACTATTTGATAAACATTTATTACTGAATAAAGACAGCAATTCAAAACATGCTGTTGTTTTTAAGAGCAAAAACAATATAAAGACGTACTTTGCCAATAAAACTGAGACAATTTTGAGATGCAGTTCCTTCATTCCAGCAGTAACTGATACATTCACTTGATTGTGAAACTCGCTATGACAAAGCAGGCCTGATGGAAATTTACTGTCATGGCTCGAAGCTCACAAACTGTCACCCCAAGAAGGCATGCATTATGCGAGATAATTTGAATACAAGTGATTCAAGATGTAAATAATGTTTATAACAATGTCATGATTATTATTCAGAATTTTGTTTACAAAAAAATCCAAATTATTTTTTTAAGTAAATTGTTGACTAACAATAATATAAATTTACATTTATATAGTGTAGTGTCTCTATATATGCACTTGACATCAAATTGTAAAACAAAAAGCATGATGATTTATAACAATCAAATAATGCGTGTGGTGACAAACAGCACTTGGTCCTAAACAGTCAACCATCAGTCTCTGCCCTGGTGCAATCCCGGTCCCCTATACCCAGGTGGCGCGAACAAAGGAAAAGGTTTGACCTGCACCTCACAGATAGCCGGGTTGTGAAGAGACTGCGACCAGAGGCCCCAAGAGACAGAGCAGCCTAATCTGATAAAAACAAAAAAGATTTAGAGGCCTATACACTTTTTTTTATCACAATTACTTGCTGGAATAATGTGTTTTAAGTAGTCAAATGTGTCCATGGATTGTAGTTGTCTTACTGTATAGTTAGTGGAATAATGTTCCAATTGTGGGGAGATGATAGGGAAAACGCACTACTATTGTAATTGATTGAAAATGTTTTTGGAACATACAGGAGATTTTTTGAACTTGTGATATCTTCAATGAGTTCTCTGATGTACGTGACTACAAAGCATATAATATTGATTGAATTTTTTTATTGATTACTTTTATCATACTGTAAAAAATGAATTATTTAGTGAGCCTATCCTCAACACCTTGTTTAAACCTATGTCTCTCTGCTGTTTCCTTTTCCTTCATAATAAGTCTCATTACTATACATTAGAGAAGAATCTGGTTCTTTTTTGTTTTTTTTTAAATAAATTATCATCACTTTGCAATCCAATACAAGGTTAAATATTACCACAATTATGTGTGATTCACTGATTTCCTGTTGTGACTAATTCAGCTGTGCTAATTTTTCCCTTGATTTTTGTGAATACATAATATTTCAATTTTTGAATCTACCTTCAACCGGAGAGTGGCATGCTATAGCACAGAGGGTTAAAACTGGTGGCACAGCACTTATCATTGGGTGTGCACTAAACCATGGGGACTTTTGTGTCTCTGGTGGTTCCATTCCACCAAGATGTTCTCCACTATGAAGAATACAGGTCATAGTGCACCAACTATCAGAAGAGACGTTTAAGCCATCTGTCCCATGTACAACATAATCGATGTGCATGTTAAATGTTAAAAAATGCAATATCTTTGAAAAAGTGCAGACAACCGTCTCTATGTAAAGTCCAAAAATTATGCTACACAGGGGTTGCCGATGATCCCAAGGGGGCCCAGCCTGAATTTCCTTACTACAGAGCTAGGATCGATGAGTTATTAGTGTACATTACTGTACGTTTACTTCTTTATTTCACAAAAGTAAAGCTACAGTATGCTATTGTAAGAATTAAATTTCTATTAACATAAATAATAATTAACCATTTTAAATTCTGCCTTTTTTTTCTACTGAAAACCAAAAATAAAAAGTGCAAAGAAACATGAAAAGATTGCTTCTAATAGAAATGTTAATTTCTGTCAAGATATCAAATTTTCTTTGACAATAAACCATTGGATGCCCATATATAGTCATGATGTACCCATATATGGTCATGGTGTGATGTCATCATGACCATACTTAGGCATGCCACGTTTTTGTCATATAAAAAATTATAGTCTGAACAGGCTTTATCAAAACATTCAAAATATCAGATACTCACAGGATCCCATTTCTTGACATTATCTTTCTCCTCCAGTTTCAGTTTATCTCCTTTATTTTTTCCATCAAATTTGATTGGCCCATCATATCTATAAATAGCATCATCCATCGGGTGTTCCTCAATCGACATGTCAGCCAGCGTGATCAGAGATTTACGTTCAATCGCTTCATACTTATTGTCAACTAAAACGGATGCATACTCATTATCTGGCCAGGAAACACTTTCACCACCTGAGCTATGGTCATTAGTATGCACATCACTTCCCGGCAGCACAACTAATGACTGCGGCTCTAGTAATTCCTCATCATCCGTTTCATGCCGGACATTCTCATACTCTCCGTTAGCATCTTCCGGTCCGCTCTGATGCTCAACGTCATTATCCGGTTTCTCATATGTAGATTCATGATCAGAAGCTGGAAAATCACAGCCCTCATCAGCATTCTGATACGGACTATCTTCCTTGTCAGAACTTCGGTATCCGTTTTTATCATCTCCGTGTGTGTCCGGATCTTGGTATGCTTGCTCGACATCAGACAATGGAGCATCAACACATGCATCATAATTTAATCTCATACCATTCAGTTTTGGCAACTCGTATTGATTATCAGCATTGCCCGATTCATCGTTGCAAACCTCCGTGTAATCACCCGATAACATTTGCAATTCTTCGCTTGTCGGTACAGACGTACAAACCGAACTTAACGTACTAGTCGGTGTTGGAATATAATGGTTACTCCTGTTTGTGGGAGACTTTGGAAGAGAGGAAACATCAGGAAGATCCACATCAGCCGATAAATCTTCCAGCTGTAAACTATTAATTCCGTCTTTAATTCCATTGACACCTCTCAAAAGTGAAGCATCTTTCTCTTGCTCAGAAATATATGATGATCCGTTTGTAAATTTTAACGATTCATTCGCTATTGTTTCATTGTCCTTCTCCGAAACCATTTTACTGATGGAGCACACTGGCTCATCTTTCTTTGTCATGGCAACCTGCATGGCCGTGACCTCCGCTGCTAAATTGTTTACAAAATCCTGACAAAATTTTAAGTCGGCTACGACAAATTTTTTGGGTTTCGGTTTTGTTGGTGGACCTACTTTTTTAACTGGGGCTGGTTCTTCCTTAATGACAGGCTCAACTTTTTTGATATGCAACGGTGGTTTGATCTCTTCTACAGGAGATATCTCGGAATCATCACTATCCTGGTACGAAGTGGTAAAATCACCTGAACTTTGGGTATATTCCTCGCTAATTACTGAACCGGAATCAGAAAGTATACTGTTGTTGTCCCATTCCTCAGCCATAAGCTGCAAGTAAAACAATTACAAATTTTTAATATTTCCTATAGAATCTCACCTCTCTTATATACCACATTTATTCGAATAAAATTAATGCCCCAGGTGTTTTTTTCCTGAGAAGGTTTTCGAGGGGGCATTTATTTGAGGGAAACTTTTTTTATTAGTGTAAAATGGATATATACATACTCAGATAGACGTCTTCAATTACCTTAAAAATAGAACGAGTAGAACTACAACCGAATTACCATCAAAATGTGTTATTGGATGTTCATAAAGACTTAATGATCACAACCAGGTTAATAGGTACTACTACTGGAGTATAACATAAATAGAATGCATTGAGAATGTTGCTACCATTAGGTTTGTTTACGTTTATTTAGGAGGGTGTTTATTCAAGCAAAAAATAAACTCCTTGAGAGCATTTATTCAAGGGAGGCATTTATTCTAAATGAGGCTCTAAAGGGATGTTTATCCAAGGAGGTGAATAAATATAGTAAATGTACAACCATTTTTGACAATTAATGTAAAAAAATACATTAACCTGGCCTTGAATACAAGATCAGACATTTTTAGTAAGTGTTTGAATTACTACCTTTACCTTTATGAATAAGAACTATCAGTTTCTTTTCTTTTTCTTTTTTTTTCTTTTTTTTTTTTGGTTTTTTGGTTTAATATACCGTAAAACCACCACATAAATGACAATGTTTTGAAAAGGTCAAAATTCTTATGAGCCCTTTTCAAGAAATTAAAATAGGCAGAGCAAACATGTCAAACAATGCAAATTGCAATGTTCTGAAACAAATAATATGGCAGACATTATGATTTTCATTAAAAATATTTTCTTTAATAGAATAATAACAACAATAATTCTTATTATTTTTTATTTTATGTATTACACCACATGTGAACATAGAGAAAATTTGGAAAAACATGAACATATATAATGTATATAAAAACGAATGAAATTCATGGAATTAGGGATTGTCTCTAAGTACCTATAGAGACGGTTACATCTGAGTGGGGCCCTTAATGATGATGATGATGATGGTGAATAAAAATGGTAATGAAGATGACAATGATGATGATCATGACAGCCATGATGATGATGATGAATATGATGATAATGATCAGGATGACCAGGACAATTATAGTTTGTGTTTATCATCATTTACATTACCAGTAAAATGGCATGGTGAAATTTTGTTTGAAATTTAAAATACAGTTTAAAATAGGTTAAAATTTATATAAAAATGTTATCCCTTCTTCAGGAGATGAGTCAGCGGAATACTAGATGATTCACTCATATAGACCCTTCACTGAAAATACAAATACCTACACATGAAACAAAATGATAAGTTAAGATTAGGAGACTACTTGTAGTAACTCCTGTAAAATGTGCATAAAAAGTTCGCCCTCCATCGGCAGGCCTCTTCTAACTAAAATATAGACCTCTCTAATATGGCATCATAAAAACACCACAAAAATGAAGAATCTGCTATGTACTGTACATCATAATCTCAGAGTGAATACATACATACGTCATATTTGTGATTCATCCTACGAAACATATCCTACGAAACATTAGAATGATAATAATAATAACAACAATAATTCTTATTATTTTTTATTTTATGTATTACACTACATGTGAACATATTGAGAAAATTTGGAAAAACATGAACATATATAATGTATATAAAAACGAATGAAATTCATGGAATTAGGTATTGTCTCTAAGTACCTAGAGGCGGTTACATCTGAATGGGGCCCTTAATGATGATGATGATGATGATGATGATGATGATGATGATGATGATGGTGAATAAAAATGGTAATGAGGATGACAATGATGATGATCATGACAGCCATGATGATGATGATGAATATGATGATAATGATCAGGACGACCAGGACAATTATAGTTTGTGTTTATCATCATTTACAGTACCAGTAAAATGACAGAAATAATGGCATGGTGAAATTTTGTTTGAAGTTACACAGTCTAAAATAGGTTAAAATTTATATAAAAATGTTATCCCTTCTTCAGGAGATGAGTCAGCAGAATACTAGATGATTCACTCATATAGACCCTTCACTGAAAATACAAATACCTACACATGAAACAAAATGATAAGTTAAGATTAGGAGACTACTTGTAGTAACTCCTGTAAAATGTGCATAAAAAGTTTGCCCTCCATCGGCAGGCCTCTTCTAACTAAAATATAGACCTCTCTAATATGGCATCCTAAAACACCACAAAAATGAAGAATCTGCTATGTACTGTACATCATAATCTCAGAGTGAATACATACATACGTTATATTTGTGATTCATCCTACGAAACATATCACTCTCCATTCTGGACCTATCCATCTCTCCACCACATCTCCCGGAGTGCTTCATCCACAGTGCTGGATGCTATGACTGATCCACACGGAAGTTTAAACATGCCATTCATATATTCAACTGATCCCTTAAAATGGAATAAGCTATACTCTGTTCAACACTTTCCAAGGTCTTCAGAGGTTTCAGCCAATCGGATCGTTCAGATTCGTAAAAAGTATAACAACTTGCCTTATGACAATGATGATCCTTCTTTATCAAATCATCTCAGAATATATTTGACAGCTGTGATCTATTTAAACACTGAACCCTTAAACATTCTGGTAAAGCTTGTGATAGGCGCAGTTAATAATTCACACGTGTATGTGATAAGCAATAAATTTTACAAACACTTAACTGACTGCCAACTTCTTCTGTATCCATACTGGTAATCATTATTTTTTATTCATTTTCTTTCATTTTTTTTTTATAAATAAAATGATATAATAATAATAATAACATCACAATAAAAATAAAATCGTACCATTAAAAATTGGGCTAACAAAAGAGAAAAACAAAATCCAATATTGTAATTGTTTATGTTGTAGAAGTAGTATGTGGCAAAACCAGTCATTTGTCAGAAATCATGTTTCAGAGATACAGAGATGGCCAAAACATGCTGGAATGTCAATATTCTTAAAATCTATTTTATTGACTGAACTAAACTTTATATTTCTATACGTCATGCTATGTTGTTATTTTCCTCATTTTCAATGTTAAAACAACACATTTTTCTGCCTGTGAAATGCCTGAAATCGTAAACTTTAAAGGCTAATTTCTCAAATATGTTTAAACTCCTGACTTCATAATGAAATGTCGGATTTAAATAATTCTTTTACAATTTTATAGCTCTCATTATACTGTTTTACCCTGTATTGATAACTAAAAATCAATTTCTTGTCAAGAGTGACTGGTTTGGCTTGTCTTTACCATATATAGTTCTCTCAATTGGCAATTAGAATGACAAATATTTTCCATTGCCATTAAACAGATTAATTAATACCATTTGTACTGTAATACAGTAGGTCTTTGCAAAGCAATTTTTTAACCATTCTGTTCTGCTACATATGGCCAAAGAATAACATTTAAAAAAAATACTGTTTCAGGTCTTATGAACAGTAAATTACCACTCCCTGACTGGCACTGCCGCTTGAGAGGGGATGATCACTGGCATTTCAGGACTCATCCACGCTTTAAGTGTAGTAGTTACTCACATAATATCAATTTAATATTCATTTGTTGTAACATGAAGTTTTAATTTTAATTTTAATTTTATTTCAATTCGCATTCAACAGCGGGTGTCCCGCCACTTACAGAATGGAAACAAAAAACAGATACAAATAAACAGATATAAATAATTTAAATAGTCACAAAAGATAACAAAACTTACTCTAGTATAGGCCTATGTAAAATACATTTGATCTTCTTTTTATATACTTCTACACTATTATAAAATACATCTATGGAATTATCTTCTTTGCTAAGATTGCTATATAATCTAGGTAATCTATTGATTAAACCATTTTTCGTAACATTGACTCTGGCAAAAGAAATTGTGAAGAATTCAGTATAGGTATTACAGCACCTATGGGGTTTAACAGATATACCAAATAAAGATGTTAAGTAATTATCATAGATACCATTAATACATTTAAATAAAAATGTTAAATCCAGAAAATTACGTCGACTTTTAAGTGAAGGAAGATTAATAGAACTTTTTGAAACATTACATAACCTTGAAACAAATTTAACAAAGCTGTGTTGAATAATGTCAATGTTAGAGGCTTGTGTTGAACTGATGCTGTTAAAAATAACTGTACAAGTTTCAACTTGCGGTCTAACTAAGGAATTAAACAGAGAGATATGGGTATTTACATTATTAATATGCCAGCAATATCGCTTGACGAGTCCTAACATCCTATTAGCTTTAAAATAAATATGTTTAATATGTTCGTTAAAATTAAGCTTAGAGTCGATAATTATGCCAAGATCACAATGAGAATTTACATTGTCTAAAGTATGATTACAAATACTGTATGGAAATAAAATTTTGTTCTTTTTAATTCAAATATTTAAAACTTTACATTTACTTAAACTAAGTTCCATATGCCAAGTATTGCACCATGAATTAAGTTTATGTAGATCATCTTGTAAAAGGCGTGAATCGTGCATATGAGATATTAATCTAATCAATTTCAAATCATCAGCATAGAGTAAACAATGGGAATTGAAATTCGAAGGTAAGTCATTTATGAAAAGGGTAAAAAATAAAGGTCCCAAAATTGTTCCCTGCGGGACACCTGATCTCACAGGGAGCCAGTCTGATGTACTGCCATCAATTGAGACCCTTTGTTTTCGATAATTGATAAGTAATTGTGCAAAAGCTTTAAAACATTTCCAGTAAAACAAAATTTAGAAGTGAAATTTTCACTATTTTTTGGATTAGCCACTCTAGATACAAGTTCTATAAAGATGTCTTCCAAAAACCATTGAAGCACAGTGGATGAAATGAAAAGCCAGAATGGATGAAAGTTGTGAAATGTTGTGTGGAACTATTGTGCATGCATACTTTACACTGATGCTCTGCATAGTGCTAACAAACAATAGTATTGAATAATAATATGTTGTTAATTATTGTTTACATTGAGTGAGAGGTAATAGGCCTATGTGTCAGCACACAGTATCAGTATCATATTCTTGAATGGCAGAAAATCTAATCGCCCATCTAATACTGCACATTTTCAACCAGGAACTTGAAATAGAGGGGCCAATGGAGGAACTTTTCACAGATGGAGGCCCCACCTCAGCCGCCCCACCATTGTTGGGACTGAGGTAACAAAAATTATGATTATGGCCTCTAGATGGTCGGAAATGGCACTCTCAGACCTAAATTTGATTATAATTTTCTTTTTTTTTCTCCTTTTATTTAAATAATTTTAACAAATTCAGGATGGGGGGGGGCCTTGAATTTGCCACTGTTTCTTTTATATCGGTAAGAATGTGAAATTCACACAAGAAGCACCAAAGCTGGGGTCCCAAGCCTCCCGCAAGCAGTGGGAGTTTCTTGGATATCTGGATGGCCTCTCACACTCCAGCAAATACAGTATCAGAAATCAGAAAATAACCCATCTTCAGCAAACTAATTAAATCTGCATGTTTTTCTATATACAATTTATTATCATTTGTCTCACAGTAGTCAATTTCTGCGGGTATCACTAGGAGTAGAAAATAAAATTAGATGCGCGAAGAAAGCTTCCAGACCTCTCGCGGAAATGACTTGGTATCCCCGGCTGCTGAGGTACAGGGGCTGATCCGGAATTTTTCAAACGTGGGGGCACAACAGTTTTAGAATAGGTAAATGAGTAGCACATAACATTGACTTACTGAAATTTTTAAAATTTAGTAGCAAAACTGGGGAGAACGGGCCCCCTGCGCCCCCTACTGGATCCGTCCTTGAGGTAGTTTGTGGCTCCATGGCTTTCAGCACTAAACCTGCAAACATACGGCCAGACTAAGGCCACTCTATCTTTTTACTGCCCACCATCCCTAATATATCATCCTTGACCTCTTCCCCTTCCCAATGATGCCACAGTTGCCTAGAGTCTATGTAATCTAAAACAGATGAAACAAATCAATATAGAGGGCCATTTTTCGTTTAAATACACAAACTGTTGACAAAAGCCTCGTTGAAATTAATGTTTTACGTTCAGAATAGAATGTTAACGAAGATCCAATCACAATCACAATGAAATGAAAAATATCACTTACAGTCCAGTTGTTGTACAGTATAATCTTTCTTTATGAGTAGAAAATAACCATCAATCAAAGAAACACAATTCCTGCTCTGTCCACTGGGAGAAATAACCCAATTTGTTTCCTGTTCTATACGGGCTACTTACCTACCTGCTAAAGATGCAACACTTCCTCATTCTCTCCTAAGCCTTAATAGAACTAAAAGGTATCAATTCAATACAAGAGGAAACAGGGTAAATGAGGCCACCAATCAGGGTGATAGTTCCAAGTGGTAAAAGCTTCTTAAAATTCCCCTTCTTTTCCTTGTTCATAGGTATGAGGCCAAGACATGTTGAAGTATTATCACTTTCTTCCTGGTTATAGCACATGATCTTGTTGGTTGCCAAGTTACAAAACTCCCGAGGGCTTACACTGTCGCTCAACTTCCATTAACAACGAAAATCCAGACATTTTGTAAAGTTCAAGGGTTAGTTTAGAATGGTACATATTTATTATCAATGTCAATAATTTAAATGAAAATTCAATTTGGTCAGGGAAGAATAAATATCACTCCCATAAATATTTTACCAAGTGAAACCATCATTATCAATTTCTGGGGGAAAAAAAATCAGAAAAGGACTTTCCATGAAGAACAAACACTATTGTGTAAATCCTTCTCCTAGGATTTTCATTTGTGTTTTTACTGCTTGACGATACCCAAAAAAAATACCATCAGAATTGGAGTCATCTTTTTAGATGGGTCAATGCAAAAGATGAAAGTACCAGTTTACTCATTATGTGTCATCATCTTCCAAGTATTGTATTTTGTTAAGATGATTTGCATTTAAGTTTACATAAAATTTATAACAATGCTCTGTAGCGTAAGTGAATTCTGGTGAGGAATGGGCTAAACAGTTCTAAACCAAAGAAAAAAACTAATCTCATGCCTTTTTTAAATGAACAAAATATCTGCCATTATTGGTAGAGTTTTAAAAAAAAATGTGGAAAAATGATAAGGAAGGACACCATGTAAAAATTCTCATCAATGCAGCTGATAGAAGGTACATGAAAAGCAATGTCCCATAAATACTTAGTACCAGCTTCAGTGCCTGAAGATATTATACTGAAAAGTAGAATGAAATATATCATGTGCGTATATATTATTGGTTATATATTGAAAAAGAATTTACTGATCTAGCATGACGGTAAAAATTGTATATAGTACTCAAGAACTAACCTTCGAAAGACATCTTCGATTTCGTTTGCAGAGCTCCACTAATCTCTGTTTGGACATAGACAGTTGACTATATGTGGCTTGTCCATCGTCTGCCTGTGCCGTTTGACTTAACCGCTTGTATTCGCGCTGTAAGCGTGCTATTGCATCTTGTAATGACCGAACTAACAACTCCAAATCCTAGTGGGGAAAAAAATGATAATAAATAATAAATAACAGAATAATTGAAAATATATCAATGTAATAATAAAAAGAACAGATTGATTTATAATGATGATGTTGACAATGATAATAACAATATACAATAAATCTGGTGATGGCAACAGTGAGTTTAGTACCATTGAAAATGATTATGTTTATGGACTGGATATACTTAGTACACCATCCATAAAATACAATAATGTAAACTGATTAAACACAAAATAGCTTTAAAAACCTATTTCCAATTGTGGTCCTTTAGTAACTAAGGCCCCATAAAAAAAATAGTTTATCACTCGCTCCCTCATCACTTTTTGGAAAAATCTGATTTTTTTTTTTCAATCAACATATATTTTTATTTCAAACAGTCCTTTTTCCATCTTTTTTCACTTGAAAAGCTCAGGGTTTCTTGCAAATATGCTTACTGGTACAACAAAAACATATTTTTTAAATATAAATTTGATTCCATTCTTATGACTTCTTATATGTGTCTCTAACCATTGATTTACTTGTGATCATTGGTAAAATGGGGGCGGGATTAGCAAAAGAAAAAAAAAAAAAAAGCTCCCTCCCTTATCAGTTTTTATTCTTTGATAGGGTGATAAACTAATAATTTTTTTATGGGGCCTAAAACAAACACAAACATAAAACACTGGAAACGATCTAGTTGCGTTTTAAAAACTTAAATGCTAAAATACCTAAAAGCACACAACTTCTATAGTCGCAAATGCATTTGGATTTATAAAAGATAAAGATTTTACCAACACCATGGGCAACATTCTAATGGCTATATCTTATCGCTGCTCTCATTTGGATTTTTTGAGTCAATTTTACTATGAAAAATTGTACTAACCAAGCCATGAAAATCAACTATTGAGGGCCCTAATCCATGACATAATCAATCAAGTGTCTTTGGAAGTTAAAAAAAGATGCATTTTTGCATTGGACAGCTCAGTAAACATATCCGGGTCAATTTACTGGGCACAATCCTCTTGGTTAAACTAAGCGCTTATCTTGGTAAGTTTTCCTGAGAGGTAATTTTCCTGGGCTGTTCGCACTGGACTAATTACGGTAAAAAGCAAACTAGCGCCTCAGTTAGTTTTACCACAAAATGGTCAGTGCGATTGCGACTTAGATGGCAGTGAAATCAGGTACAGTCAATATGTTAGCAGTACAAGTCATCTTCATCATACTGCTATTTGTCTTTCAACATCGCATGTTTTTCCTCCCATTCACAATCAGCAAGAGAGTATATGTTAGTACAAGTACACCTACCAATACCATATAAGAATATATTAGGATGTATCCTATATAAGTAGTGTTGCGCCATCTGGGTTGGAGTTGTGAGTTCAGAAGTGTATCATTAATGTGGTGGAAGTTTTGGACTTCTTTACCAACCAAACTTTCATAAAATGTCTGTTGCCGAGGTCTGTTTATACTTTTTAGTAAATTTCAACCAATTTGCCTAATTTGGCTATCCTCTCAGGGTGTCGAAGCATGAAAATTGTCTCAGCAACACAATTTATTTTAAAAGTATTTTTTTACCTCCATTATATTTCAATATTGAAATCACATCTTAAATATTTCCCTCAATCATTTTATCTTGTTTCCTTTAAGAAAAATATCAATTGATATTTCCAGTTCTCTGAGCTTATCTTTCTCTGTAGCATTTTGTTTTGAGTGGCTTTTCGACAAATATCCTACTGTAGACGTGCGTGCATGTACTTTAGTAGAAACTAATGTATTCCAAACCTTTTATACCCTAGTAGGTACCCATTCATATTCCTGGGTCAAGATCAAGAGGCATCAATCAAATTTCATCAGAAAAAGCTTCACATAAAATGTGATGGAACATAGAGTTGAACATGTTAAACATTTTTTGATACAATTTGATAATATAATATATGACATCATCATACCTATATATGGACACATCACATTTTTTTGTCATATAAAGTCTTATAGTGCAGACAAAGCTTAAAATAGCTTGAAATTTATAATTTTAGGTCTATATTATTATATGGGGTGGAGTAAAATTAGCTTGGTGGTAAATATACTTGACTTCTAAGACCTGGGTGCTGGGCAGGATATTTTGTCATCACGACTAAAAAAAACTACACGCCCTAAGCATCAGCATGAAGCTTACCGTATTTTCTCGCATATAAGACGAGGCTTAAAATAGCAAATAACAATCGCAAAAAAAAAAAAAAACCTATCGTCTTATACATTCAACACATACAAATTTTTTATTTTTAAATCATGTTCATATTACAAGTTACAAAATACAAGTCAACTTTATTGTCAAAAAAAAAAATTCCGAGATATTTTTTGTACATAACATAGAATCGTTTATAAATGTGATAAATGTCACTTAAATAAAATAGTAGTAAATAAAAATTGGAGTTTGTGTAGTTATCTCCTTAAATCAAGCAATGTACAATGCTGAATGTCTGAAACGGTTAGTTGATATTTTGTGTTCTTTAAGTGTAACCCTTCCCGATCTATTTACGATAATGTCTGAGTATAATGGATGGGATAAGTCTTGCATAATTAAATTAAATTTCTTATGTATAACATTTAAAAAAATATCTTCTAAGGATTTCACATCGGCTCCAATCGCTGAAATGATGCTACTAACTGTTAGTATGATTGAACTTATTTCTATATACACGGCATAGGCTTAGCCAGCGAGCCGTCCGGCCATCTCATGGACGGCCTACAATTATTTAGAACAACCACTTTATGATTTTAAAATCATGTTCGTATTAAGTGCAGATCACGATAATCAAATTTTTATGTATTCTACTTAACAGGTTATCCAGTTTAAAGAAAGTAGTTGATTTTTTGAAATTTATGATTAATCTTGCTTAAAAGAATCTGAAAGATATACTGTCTCAAAATCAAACCTCAAAATAATAATTAAAACATTTCTTTTTTATTTCTTTGCCATTTAAACATGCAATCCATTCGGTGTTCGCTTTTTTTATTCGATTATCTTGAACTTGTCCCGTTTCTATACGCACAAAATAATTTAAATAAATAACAAATTCTTTTTAAAAATGATCATTAATTGGATATTTCTTGCCAGCAGAAACAGGCTCCTAAATATAAGTTAACAGCAATTTGGGTGTGTAATTTATATTATTGTATTTTGATACTGGAAGCAAATAAATTCTATACAGGCCAAAAATCATATCTTTTTAATTAAAGTCATTATCCACAAGTTCACAAAAAACAAGATGTAAAAAAAGTCTCACTATATCTTTAAAATGCTATCCATCCTGTTCCGTGCTATCACGTGGCATTTGAGCCTATGTGTTCACTGATATTCTACGTTCACGTTTAACAACACATCGTGAGAAAGCGACATTAATCAGGTAATTACACGTTTTAAGTCATCCAACCTGCAGTAATTTTCATATCAACACTTCCTTACCAACTTTTTTAATATTAGTATTCATAAATTGAGTCACCGCCATGCTTCTGTCTGGTATACCATGATGTACCAGTTTAAAGTGTCACTAAAATCTAGCTTGGAATTAAATAGTGCAATATTTAAATAAAGTTTAGTGTCATTAGTACAACTGATAGTTAATTTACACAATATTTATATTTTGGAGACTTAATAAGTTACTAACCAATTACACTTTTGCATAAATCAAAATACAATTAAATATTCTACAGAAGAAATACAAATTAAATGAATTTGTTTTTTTTACTAAAAGAAAGCGAAATACTTTAATGATATTTGTGCTGGCCACAGATGACAAATGAATAATGATGTTAATAATATTCAAGAAGGTTTAATGTACAGTAAAGTAATATAGACCAAGACAACATTCATAAATTTATGCAAAGTGGCAAATATAAAAATTTATTTAAATCCTTTAGAAAGTAAAAAGATTTTAGCTACATTTATCTACAACATTTGATAACAATTTATAACATATTTATTTTTAATTTATATATTAATTTGACATTGTGATCAAAACAACTATACAGCCAAGGCATCATAACATGTGAAAAGATATTACAAAAAATTTGATAAGAAAAATACAATTTAAAGATTTTTATGCTTATTATTCAATTTTAATATGCTTGTACATGATTTTTTATCAACTGCAAAAATAAATATAACATAAATAAATAATTAGCATTAAATGAATGATTTTTTTTTTTTTTTAAATTGAGTCTACAAATATTGATAAAATGAAAGCTAATTTATCAAAGAAATTACAGTGTTACTTTTCATTGTTTTTCAGACTACGTTCTAAAAATAATAAACTAACAACACACCTTAAACAAAGAAGGTATAAATATTTGAAAGTAAAACATACTTGCCGCTCTAAATGTTGGACCGCAGTATCAAAATCCTGGCCGTTCGTGTTCAGTAATTTAAGGATACTGTGTTGTGTGTCTATGCTCGATGACATCTAAATTAGTGGAAGAAATGAAACGTTTAACGGGGTTTCCTCATTAAATTGCGACTCACAGGAAGAAATACAACTATGTCATTAGGCTGTGCGTCAAAAAAAAAACATGTGACATGCCTAAATATGGTCATGATGACATCACATCATGACCATATATAGGCACATAATGACTATATATGGGCATACAACATTTTTTTTGTCAAATTTAATAATCTGGATAGAGCTTTTAACAACAATCACCTAAAAACAGGCAACCGAAGCCCAGTGTGAAGTGGCTGGACAACAGAGGCTACTACATATCTTAGGGGACATTCTAAATTATATCTTTTTAACTGTACGGTCGTTCCAAGGTAAAACAACGTAGCTGCACAAAAATATAACAGCAGTTACGTTGTTTTGGCATGGTACGGCCGTGTATAATTTGAAGAATTTTCTGAGAGGGGTGGGAAAAGATAAAGCTAAAGTATTCTCATTTTTTTTTAAATGCTTCTACCAAAATGCATTTAAGCAGCGGTGAAAATAAAAATAAAAGTTTATTCACAAATAAAAAATTTGACCTAATTTCTCATATGAGAATACCTCTTGACCAAATGCTCAGCTTAAAAATCAAATTGTCATTTTTTTTTTACCATCCTCTGTTGAATGAACCATTGTTCACAATTTATGACATGGATTTATGTATATTTCAAAAAGGTTCCTTTTTCTGAAACTATTATTAATTATAGTTGATGCAATCAATAATAAACAATGAATAGCCAAATAATGCTGGTTTGATCAAAATAGCAAACACTATACAACCTTGTTATTAATGGATCAAGAAGTTCAACAAAATTGGTTTGACATTAATAAATTATATCATTAGGCAAAAAGAAGATTGCGTTGCTCAAGCCCAATACAGTGCCAGCTTATTCTTTGTGGTATAATTTTTAAGAAAAGTATTCAAAAATGGTACAAAAGTAGAATATAATTATGGTTACTATCTAATATTTATCTTTAAGTGTTTTGAAGACTCTTTATCTCATACAGATAAAGTTTAATATTATTTTCCATTAAGTGTTACATTTTTGCTATTTTTTCCTTCTAAAAACAGCACCATACGAGGGACATCAGTCCGTGACCAAATTCATTTGATAGGCCAATCCACCACTGCTTGTATAAAATGAATCACTAGTCATTTTCCAAAAAAAAAAAATCATTCAAAAATGGTATAAAAGTAGGATATGTGGCAAAGACAAACCAGTCACTCGTCACAAATCATGTTTCAGAGATAATGGCCAAAACATGCTGGAAATCCAGTTATTTTACTCATTTTCAATGTTAAAACAACAATTTTTAACGATTTGGCGAGTGGTTTCTGCCTGAGGAATGGCCAAAATTAAAAAATGTGAAGGCTGATTTATTTTTCTTTAAACAGCTGTATGTTTAAACTCCAGTAACTTCATAACGAAATGTCGGATTTAAATGATTCTTTTTATAGCTCTTATTTTACTGAACCCTTAATAACTAAAAAAAATGAATTGACTTTTTGTGAGGAGTGACTGGTTCGGCTTGTGCCACATATAAATATTAGTATTTAATATTTTTCTTTCAATGTTGCAAAGCAACTTGGTATAGTAATATTCATCATTTATTTCAAATCCACATTTACAACAGAAAGAATAATAGACAACCAATGCGGTTTGGGATCTTAAAACAAAAAAGCTGATACATCAATCATTTCCCCAGCTTAGATATTGTTGCCAAGGTCCTAAAAGACAGATATTTGTAGAGAAATTGGTCAAAGTGTGCAGCTGTGAAGTAAACTTGTATGTTTGTGTATTCATAGGCACATATTCCTGATTATATTTCAGGTGCGGACTTAGAGAGGGAGGGGGAGCCGTGGCCGCCCCCCCTCCACCCTTTTGAAAAGTTAAAATAAAATAAAAAATAAAAAAGAAAGAAAAATAAATAATTGATCGCACAAAAATGCCCCAGAGGATATTTTCGAGCATCTACAAAACAAAAATTCGTCGGGGAATTCCCCCGGACCCCTATGGTAGTGTTGTCTCATTCGGCCCCATTTCGGCCTCCTTTCGCACCCCCACCCCCCTTCGGACATCTTTGGATCCGCCCCTGTATTTTAATTGAAGCTTGAATAGAGGCAAATTTCCTTGTTATTAATTCAACAGCAGTGATTACGAGAATACAATCAACTAATGAATTGAATTTTTGCATTGCATGGAAGCATTTTTTGCAACGGTTGATATTTGGCTTTCAACCTTGAGGTAGGGATTTTAAATCCGTACTGCCCTCAGGCAATGCACTTTACTAATGTTTGCTGCTCTGAGGTACATGGTAAAATGTGTACCACAGCATGACTTGGTTTACTGTGTACTCTCCAGAAAGCAGAGATGGTAGCAAATCATATCGATATGCAAATGTACATATTGTATGTGCAATCATGAGGAGTGCTAAAGTAAACTTTGATCAGACTGGTCTGGAATTGGCAACATAGAAATAAACGGTAGTACTGTATCATTATTATTATTATGTAATTTCTTGTTTATAGTACTGTACATGTGGTACTAGACATTTCAAATTTAGGGTCTTTGATGTTAATCAGATCTCAAATGATTTTCTTGCCAGAGGGTGAACCCTGTTTGCCTTTATACAAGATTTTTTTGCGTAATTTATTCTAACAGCAAAGCCACATACTATTGGTTCACAACCAAAAATTGGGTGGCTAAATAAATTAGAGGGTCACAAGAAAATATATTAAAATTTGAGTTTTATATATCCTGCTAAAATTTCTGTAGCAATTAAGATTGCATGTTGTTTTACCAATTAATGACCAATTTTGAGTATTTTCTTGGAAGCGGGTAGCACTGCAGCAAATTACCTGGACATTTGTTTGGGTCGTCTGCCAAAAAGTCTGAGAACTGCTGGGCTAGTGAAAACAATGCTAATGTACTATACGGTATACACTATTTAGTAGAAATTCCCTTTACAATGATTACTGCCTTGTTAGTTTTCGTTGCCAATCTGTAATTTTTATAAATCTTAAGAGTTATTTTTAGTATTTGGTAAATTTTTACTCAATGAGAATTCATATCCTTTGTTCTTCTTGCAAGCATTATCAGGGGCAAAGTTCTGAGTCAGGATTTGTTATTGTTACTGCAAGGGCGATGCTCATGACAAAATATTAAATAGCCCTATTATAAAACGATGCTGATGCTGGGCAGAAAGAAAGAGTTCATACAATTCTATTAAGTGGGTGGTTGAAGAAATTATTTTTCATCACATGACTATTTATTTGAAGGGCAATGTGGCAATTTATGCAGGCCAAAACATTAATTTTTACATAAGTTTCAAGGTCTTAACAAAAAAACCCAACTTTTTTTCTTGCATTCTATTTATAGAAATCAACATAATATTCTTCATGTTCAAAATTGATGAAAACAAGACAAGATAACAATTGTCAAGACTAATTGTTGCGGTAATAAGAGAATATGATAAACAGATAATGTAAACCTGTCTTATATTCTTCATAATAATGATATAGGGCTTCAGCAAAGGGCAGTGACATAAGAACTATCATTTCAGAGTTCTATGTAGTCATGGAACCCATGAATTTGAATTATGACCTACCTTCGCGGACCTCTGCTTTGTGAGTATGATTCCAGAATTAAGTGACTCAACTGAAAGATCACCTTCAAATGTAAAATAACTCCTGTTGAGAAGTTTTAAATATATTGAAAGTTATCGCAGAAACTATCACCGCAAGAGAACGAGCTGACGATGTTCCATTGAAAATATCAAAAACACCCTACGTGCTAATGAACTTTACACAGATGTGTTGATGCAGTGTTGTAACACGGGGGAGATTCTTGTGTTAGATTACCGTACCGGGTACTTCCGTCATTTCTAGCTCGCTGAGTCAGAGCCCGTACAAGGCTACTAAGAATTCAAACCTGCATGAATATATTTGGCAAATGACGTCAAGTTGCGATGGAGCAGCAACCAGCTTCAGGAAACCAATTTTCGGTGACTCATAACCTGTAGAATAGACTACCAATTTGTTCTATATATACACATGATAATTGTGTTAATATAATGCATGAAAAATAGAAAACTATTTATTTTCATTAAGGATAATTATATATAATTAATTATATTCATAAATTATGTACATACTGTATGTATTATACATAAATCAATATTTCATAATTCAGTATTCAGTATACAAGTCAAAATCAGGGTAACATTCTAGCATTTATAACTTCTTTGTTATATATTGTAGAACTACAGGCTCAACAGCTGGTAGTTCAGGGAAGATAACCTAGACGATAATGTATGAATGACGTATGTATGTTTGTTGTGTTATGTTGCCGGTAGCACACTCGAGCAGCACAAGTGGCGCCCTTTGACCATACACCAACCCATGGGAAAAGCGGACGAGATATTAAACTCGCACTTGCATAGTCAATATCGTTCTATCACAGTGCCATCGACGAGTATACTCGCCCCCTAATATTTTCCCACCAATTTATTAGACATGTCATTTTTATGATATATGACTAGAGAAAATATCGAAAAAAGTATGTTTGTACATCTGAACTTGCTGTGGCACATGAGAAAGAACCTTATAAAAAGGTCTGACTGTCAATGTGTTAAAGTAAACAGTAAAAACTATCCCACGCTGGACTCTATCCCGGGCACTTTTGAGTCAATGGCTGTACTACACCATTGGATTGAACACAGTGTTTTGTCATTGAACACTAATTAGCGCTGGAGGGCGTTCCACCCAAGACACTCATTTATACTTGTAATTTTGAAACCGTGTTATAGCAAATAGCATTGTATTGTGGGGTGTGTGGTCAAAACAACAATTTGTTTTTATCCCCAAATGCTGAAGAGTGCAAGTCTTAACTGTACTTTCCGTCCAGCCCATTGTTTTGTAAAAACTACAGTAGGCCTATCCCTACAGTATACAGCGGTCTCCCACTAGAAAAGTGGAAATTAATAAACTCATCTACCGTAATTTGCTTTTTGTCCACAGTAGAGCTGCAATTTACAAACGAAAATTATAATCCTGACAAAATTTCGAGATTACTGTCTTAGGTTTTACGTGAACATCTTAATCATTGATGATATTCTGCATAATATAAGGCTTCAATAAACTATGCAGAAAAGTTTATCCATGATAAACTGTACTGTACTCTTCTTGGTCACCTCGACTTACCACTTGATGTTGATTTGGGATGGAATTGTACAATTATGTAAGTTTGCAATGCAACATGGTATAAAACTATTCCCCCCAGACACCATTCTGGTATTTCTATTAGTGGTTTTCAGCGCTAATGTTATATCCTGGTCTTCCATTGGCCTTGGACTTTCATTAATGAATTGCCTTTGTTTAGGTTAATGTTAAAAGCAGTGAACACCATAATCATTGCAAAATTTGATATCCAAATAAAATAATTATCTTTTAATTAATTGTTTTATATTTGCTATTAATCTCATTACCTATTCCCAAAATGCTTCTTTGAGAGTTGGCTTTAATTGTACACCATGACATAAATATAAAAATTACAGACTACAACCACAGTAATATTTATCTAAAATTTACAAAATGGATGTTTTATTACCAGTACTAAAAAATATAACATAAATTTCTATTAACATAAATTGTTAATATTTAGTATTTTTTACAATCGAACTTACCTTCCTAAGTCAAATCCAAAATGCCACTGAAAAATTGTTAGACTTAGATAAAATTTGACTTACATATTGTTAATTAATGAAAAACACAACAGTTTGGCATGTGAAATACAGTAAGTTCGACTTAGAAATTATTTGAGTTAGGCAAGGTTGTCTTAGCAAAGTTTAACTGTATCATAAAATTAACCATAATACAAATGAGCAGGAAGGCATCTAGACAGCTCGACAGGCGAGTTTGTTCCCACAGTATGCTGGCTAAAACATGAATTAACCATCAGCACATGGAAAATTGGTGAGTTTTGTTTAGCAATTTTGTAGGCCTATGATTAAAGCTGGTGCGAAGATTTGCTTAAAACATAAAAATTAACCAAAATATTCAAGATTCTAACAAATTTTTATATGAAAAATGGAAAGTTATCAACAAATTTCATCTGGTCTTGTTGATGTAATAATTATATTGTAGACTTAAATCAGACCATAATAAATAAATATATCATTACAAACAAGGCTTGGGTTTCAAGCCAAAACCATCAAAATAAAAGAAAGTATTTCTTGCTATTGTTTCAAGGTCTAATTTAATAAAGTTTATATCTATATTGGAAAATGAAGTTATTTCTCTTTTCTACAGCTTGTCAGGACATCTCATTGTTATATTGAAGAATTACTAATGATATAATTTAATTTTCTTTAATGAATAACATCCATATAGTCATAATACTGTAATTTCTTAGTATAGACAAAGTGTTATGGTTAAATTCATTTTAATTTTTATAATATTTTAACAGTTTGATTGCAACATTATAATATCAGCAACAAGAAACAATCACATATAGTCTGTATATAATAGGCCTACTGTAATTTCTTAGTATAAGTATACATTCATTTTAATTTTTATAATTTTTTAACAGTTTAATTGCAACATTATAATATCGGTCACAAGACTAAAACAAAAATTCAGATTTTTCTTATACCATTTTTAAATAAAGTTGAAATATTTAATGTAGTTGTTCTTTTTTGAATATAATGTGTACTCAAACGAAATGCAACTTTAATGATTTTTGTTTTGTTTTTCCATGGTTTGGAAAAACAAAACAAAAATCATTAAAGTTGCATTTTTGTTTTTGTTTTGTTTTTCCATGGTTTGGAAATAATAATTAAATTAATGACCTTGTGCTACCCTGGTTGGAACACCAAATATCTTGCTCTGTTAAGACAACATATATAAATAGTGACCTCTCCAGTTGTTCATGCTATTTTTAACAAGGAAGAGACCCTAATAATAAGATGCTGTCACTCGACCCCTTGCATACGATAAATGCCAAAGCGCATTCAGACACGCAAGTTGCAAATACCATCCTAAAGATTTTTGTAATATCAAAAATCTGCATCCCAACATAGGGATAAGTGAATATATTAACTTACATTATTATATATTTCTTGTTTTACTTATTTTAACATATTTTAAATTGTACTTTTCGATGTGTGTATTCAAACAAAAAATTTCCATTTTTATATACATTTGTATTTTTTATGGACAAGTCAATGAAATGAGCCTCTAATCTTCTTGATTGTCTGCTGGATATTTAAAATTAAAATAATAAATTACTTATCACTACCAGATAGTATACCGACATAAAAAGAGCACTGAAAAAATTAAAATAAGGGACTAAATAACTAAAACACATAGAAAATAGGGAATAAAAATTATGAGTGATTAAGCCAGAGGAGAAAAGCAGATTGCATTTAGGGAATTGTTCTGGGGGAAGAGTCAGCGACTGAAAAAGCATGGGTATTGACGCATCTGACCTAAAATAGGAAAGGATGACACAGAGGATAATTAAATTTTTAAAATTATTCTACCAGTATACAAAATTAACATTAAAACTAATGGTAATATAGATGGGCTTGCTCTCTGGAATAGCAAAAAATTTAACACAATACACTGAAAGAGTAATATCTTTGATAATTTGAAAAATTATTATTATACATACTGTATAATCACTCATATTTAAAAATATATTTTGTTTTTAGATAATCCTAAACCACAAAAGTGAATCATGAAAAAATAAGTGTAAAAGTTTACAAGCTATAGGCCTATCTTTTTATGAAAGAAGCCCTTAGATATTAGATTAAGAATATCTTTCAAAACAGAAGCACATATTACCTTCTAGCTATCAGTGTCCGAGCTCAGACTATCAGGAAACACTAATTTCCCATTCTATAGCTCAAGCAAGTCATTCAGACTAAAATAGTTCTGTTAAGTTTTTACCTTCTCTACGATGCAATCTTCCAGATCTGTTAAAAACACTTGTGATGTCAAATTACTGTTGATAAGGACACCATTCCAAACAAAAAAATTCTTCTCTCAAGGATTATCTTTCTGATACGAAATGCCTGTAAATTAATAATAAATATCGGTATTATGTAAATAACATTGAGTGGGTGTAGATAGGCCTGTGTTGATATGGTTTCATTAGTAAATATATCAAACTAAGATGATTTCGTTAGCAGGCTTCCTGTTTCACTGTCACTTTTAAAATGTCATTCTTGTCAGTCACCATGGTAACTACACTGTCCGAGCATATAAATAGATTTGACTTGTAAGCCATGGCAAAATGTATACACTATTTTGTTATGTTTCTAGAAATGTATGAAGGGATTAGGATTAATAATCATCCTATTAATTTTAAGTTGATTTGTGACATTTTACCATGGAAAAAGGTGTGTTACAAATTTCTGCATTATTATTAGGCTTGGGCCTTTAGCACACTTTATTTCTTTATAATTCTGTGTTTTTCTTCTATTTTTTTGTATAATATACTCTATAAGTCTCCCTCCAATTAAAAATGACTTTTGTGACAGGGATTTTAGTCACGTCTTTAACAGCTTTTGTCTCTAATTAGGGGGTACGCCTCCTTTGCCTTCCTTCCTTGGTCACCATAATCAGGCATAATGAAAAATTCAGCCCATCAAACAGTGACCTCGGCTATGCCTAGCCTAGGCCTATATTATGCCTAGGCTCTACACTTGAATTGAATGAAGCGTGTGTGTGACATCATTATTTGACTAACTAAGGGTAGACCCTGCCCTACCTAAGCCACACTCTTGTCTATGGCCTAGCAGTACTACTAACTAGGCCTAGCTACCTAGACCCCTAGGCGAGGCCTCTAGGAGGGCTAGGTCCTGGGCCTATACTCTAGACGTGCGTAGAAGGCCCGTGCGACCCAACAACATTTTGATTGGTTGAAAGTTCTAGGCCTGAACTGAACAAGTAACATGGGGTAGCCTAGGCTTAGGGCTTAGAAAAGCCAAGAAAAAGGTACCATGTTATTGCTTGGATGGATCATTGATTCCGTTAATCGACCGGTCTTCAATTATTAATAAATCGTATCCATCCTATGTAAAGCATAATTTACCAGTTTAACTGATACAAACACTTTTATCTTGGCTGTACGTATGTGTTCGCTAGTGAGTGTGACGATGTTGTCAGCATTATTAATATACAAATAGAGCACTCGCATAGCAAAAATGAGGCGGAAATTGGTCCAGACGTACACGGCGCCCTTCTCTTTTTATAATGCAAGTTTTCTATACTTGGTCCAGACGTATAGGGCGCCCTTCAGTTGCTAGGTATGTCCCGACGCACATGGCGCCCTTCTTTTTCCACTAATGGATGAAAACTTTATCACTGCGACTCTGCGCTTCTGTGTCTGTCATTTTATTGTTTTGATTTATTTATGCCTACTTACATGTATCTTATGGATAATGGAAATGATTTCAACCTCCGCAAAAGGAGGTTTATGTATTCACAGTTATGTAACGATGGCAGAAGTTTTTTTAGATCCAGCCCATTGTTTGTATTCCCACCATACTTGATTTGTGAATTGACCAAGAAAATGAAAAGTTATAGCAATTTAAAGTTTACGAATTTTATAAAATTTCATGTCTCATGAACGACAATACACCACAATATCGGTAAAATTAATGTTGAAATGAGGAATATAATTCAATTTATTTATAAATGATCTTCCGTTGCAATTGAATTATTCAAACTCACTTTTATTTGCTGATGACGTTAAGCTTTTTAAAATAATTTCGTCTGTTCAGGAAGCAGTTCAACTTCAGGAGGACGCAAGTCACCTCGCTGATTGGGCCAGAACCTGGGGGCTCACCCTTAACATTCAGAAATGTAAATTTATGTCCATTACTCTTAAGAAAAAAACCAATTCTGTTCCGTTATAAATTAAATATGCAAGAACTTGCAAAGATTAGCTGTTACATATAATAATTTAAGTTGTTCTGATGAAATTGATATTTTTTATGATAGTTTATCCTCGTTTAAGCTTAAAATTAGTAAGGTTGTTTGATGTTAGTTATTATTTGTCTCTTTCTATGTGTATATGTTTTTCTCCAACCTGTTAGTGGAGGTTCTTATCTCTGTTGGTTGAGAATTAAATAATTAAAAAAAAAAAAAATTTCAGTCTAACGTTAGTGCAAAATATCATTAGGCCTTTGTAATCACCGCACGACGCGCGATTATCATGGCAGCTAACACGTGCGTGGGTAAAGAAAAGGCGTATTTAAAAAAAAAATTGCGTTTGTGAGCAATACATTTTAATTTTATATAAGTAAGTAGTAAGTATATGAATAATTTTAATGCACTAGTTAGTTCATAACTTCATTCTAATTTGTTTTGGGTCTTTTTTCTGCATTTTTATAAGCGGTTAGACATGGCCTATGCTAGCTGTGTGATGTTCATTGTAATACTACAAAACAAATTCACATCAATTTAAAATCAAATTTGTGAACATACTCGCATTGTATCTTAAATAGCAGATGATTTTATTGGTACATTTCGGTGGAACAGTTTTTTTCCCGTAGAGATATAATAAGAATACTAGAGCGCTAACTGCAATGTATTCGATGTTCGAAATACGCAGAGCTGTGTGTGTGTGTGTGTGTGTGTGTGTGTGTGTGTGTGTGTGTGTGTGTACCATCCAAGATGGCTGCCATAGATTTAGCCAATCAAATTTCGCCTAAGCGCCATCATTTACAATTGCGCCCTCAATTTACACAGAAAGTTCAGCTAGGCGTACAGCTAGGCCTACCAAGGATAACGGTACGGTAAACAAAGAAAAGGCGTATTAAAATAAAAAATTTGCGTTTTAATTTTATATAAGTAAGTAGTAAGTATATGAATAATTTTAATGCACTATTTAGTTGATAACTTCATTCTAATTTGTTTTGGGTCTTTTTTCTGCATTTTTATAAGCGGTTAGACATGGCCTATGCTAGCTTATGTGATGTTCATTGTAATACTACAAAACAAATTCACATCAATTTAAAATCAAATTTGTGAACATACTCGCCTTGTATCTTAAATAGCAGATGATTTTATTGGTACATTAGTTTGTTCTTAAGTGTGTAAGTATGATTGATTTGCATGCCAAGTGAATTAGTACCCTTATTTTGCTTGTTTTACCGTACCGTAATTCTTGGCTAGGCATAGCTGTACGCCAAGCCGATACGCAGTGCGGGCCGCAGTGGATAAGGAAAGTTTTGTTTTTCTGAGCATGTGCAGATTGTGCTTATCTGGCTCATTAGCATAACAATACCGAACATAAGGCTAATTCAAGTTAGACGGCTTAAACCAGCCAGTTTCCTATCCTGGTAAAACAGTTATAAGTCCTTGGTACAGCTAGTTACCCGTAGGCCTATGTTTGAAACTCGAGCGTTGCGGTGTATGGGTGTAATGTACACGATTTTAATTATCATTATCTTTGAAAAAGATGCTGCACTTGGCCTCGTCTTGGCTACGATAGTTTAATAATTTGTTATTACCATTACTTATTATCATTAATAAAATAATAGTCAGTCAGAGGGCTTATTTATGGTAATAATATTTATACTAAACCTGAAGGCGGCGCTTTACTACGACGACCATCTTGGATGGTACACATACATAACTCTGCATTGCTTCGGCTCTCTAGTTGTTTAATAGCTCTATGGGAGAACCAAGGCAATTAAACAGAAGGACGCTCATCTCGGGACATCAAAGGTTATAAAACGTCACAAAAACCATAGCAACCAGACCATAAACCGTCAGTGTACGTGACGATTTACCCACGCGCGTGTTAGCTGCCATGATAATCGCGCGTCGTGTGGTGATTACAAAGGCCTAATGATATTTTGCACTAACATTAGACTGAAATTATATTCCTCATTTCAACATTAATTTTACCGATATTGTGGTGAATTGTCGTTCATGAGACTCACTTCGCAGAAAAAATTAATAAATGTTCTGTATCTACTCAAATGTTCGTTTTGTGAACCTTAGTCCAACATTGTCAAAATGACAGTTTAATGTTACATAAGAACATGAAATTTTATAAAATTTGTAAACTTTAAATTGCTATAACTTTTCATTTTCTTGGTCAATTTTCACAAATCAAATTGCAGTTTATAGAAGGATTTAACAAGCTCGCGGTCAAAAGAAATCAGATGTAACAGACATTGCGAAGTACAGCAACCAAAATTAATAAAATTGCAACTAACACCACTGAAAACGTATGGCATGCATAGACTAATATAATTGACGGCTGTACTCGCAAATAGTATCGGATTGTCGATGCCACAGTAAGATCAAAGGACTGTACGTACGCGCTATGTTCGAGAGCGGAGATGTGCGTCCTGTTGGAGAACTCTATCTTGTGTTCTAGTATCTTTGATCATTAGTCAGCTCTGAAAATCGCCCTCTATCACTGATTAGCAATTGCAATGTCAATACCAAGCTCTGTCGTCGAGAGCCTTCTACATGATACATGCACTCTGTTAACCTTCTTTATTCGTTTCTACTATTTACCGTCTATACAATATAGGCCTAAATTTTTACTAGATTGTAACTCTAAACTCAGTCTTGAATAAAATGTACACTTCAAAACAATGTTATGTCTTATTTTATCATCTTACTATATGTAGGTTATTTACACTAAGTAAGTAAGTAACTTTATTGCTTCTCATAACAGAGGCACAACCGTAAACAATAGCAAAATCAGTATAAACTTAAAGAGTAAGTAGACCTAAGTATTGCATATTTATTCAATTCAGTCATGCAATGAAATAGTATTATATATTTCGTTTCATTCTTTCCATGCAGTTGTTAAAAATAATTTACATTGTTCTTCGAAAACTTTACTCGCAATAATATAATTAACGGGGTTTATAAAATTTGTTGTTAAAATTTGATATTCGTAATGGATTTCTAATTCATCAAAGAAAAGAATGGTATTTAAGTTCGGGGGACCTTATACAGTATACTATATAATAAATACATATACATATGAATGACACTCTAAACTGATGGGTACTTTTGTGAATATCATTATTCATCCAGGTAGTTTGGTTATAATCAGGGAACAGTGAAATTACATACCGTAATATAATAAAACTTAATAAAAATGTTTAATGGTTTTAAAGTGGAAGTGGATAGCGCCACCTACATCATTTGTTTGTTACCAAAACTACCAGAAAGTATTGAGCGCACGCTGTAACTTTGCGTTTGCGCTGGCGTACCTTCACCCTTTTCTGATTTGCTAGATATATCAAAGAGTATAAATAGAACAAGAGAGCCAACAACGCTCATTGAGAGCGTAAAAAAACGACACGCTCTACGCAGCTAGTGTAGAACGCCAACTAACGCTTGTATATGTTTTATTACCATAGAGCTATTATTGTTATTATATCTCTATGTTTATTACCCAGTACTCCACCGCGCACGGTAGGTTTGTCTGTTTATCTGTTCTCCACAAGATACTGTACTTTTGTCAAATAGAAGCGTCGGTCAAGGTTCAAAAGTTTCCAATTTAGCAAGAGGGCGCCATTCATGCGCTATTATACCAACGAGAAAAAGTAATCAGCTTTGAAAGAGGGCGTCCTATCTGTTGCCATGGATCTGAGATGGTTCCTGTTCTGCTGTTCACAGGATTGATACCCTAATGGTAAAATCGAGCGGTCAAGGGTCAAAAGTTTCCAATTTAGCAAGAGGGCGCCATTCATGCCTTATTACAGAATTTGCACGCGTAAATCGCGGAGAACGCTATCTTGTGTTTATAAGATCTTTGTTTTCTGCTTACTGAGTTTATAGCGGGCGTACTTCTACCGCGCTGCGCAGCGCTGCACTGGGTAATAAAAAGAATATACAACCGTAAGTGGGCGTCCTACACAGGCGTGACGTTTTTACGAACGGGACTTTGCTCTCTTGTTCTATTTATACTCTTTGGATATATACAAACGCGTTCATAACAACTAAGTTTACATCTTCAAGTAATGTTACATCCATACCTCCTACGAATAGGTCTAAGCCATAGAACCGAAATGAATAGTATATATAGTTGAAATAGTACTTGAACTAATGTCGATTTATTTCAGTGAAAATTAGGCATCAAGTTTTCATAATGTTGTTTTTAAAAGTTCAAGACTTGGACGCTTGACGTTTAAAACTGCTGCAAGTTCCGACATCCGCCATGAGCACACGCGTATGATGCGCAGTTGTCAACGCGTGCAGTACACGTCATAATTTTTTTATTGTTCTTACCTAGCAACTATGGAACATAAACATTCGATTTGACAGCGAAAAGGTATAAATACCTCAATGTTTAGAGGTTTCCCCAGAAATTTTGCTTTACTACTGACTGAGCACTTCGTATCACTGATTATATTTTACTCAATCGAACGTTTTCGTAAATACTACCAGTAACAAAGACATGACAATTTATGCAATACTGGTGATAGTGTTTACTCTGATCTTACCGACGACGACTGCTAAACATGTGGACGGCGTTATTAACTCTGCCCATGTAACTAATACCAAAATATTGTTTTGTATTAGATGAGATAGGCTTACAACTACAATCTATATATTTTACTCAATTCTCTGTTACTATTCAACCTTAAAACCATCGATAGAAAAATCACATATTATTGGTATTGTAGTACTGCTCTTCCTAAACTTTGACATATTTAATAGTAAAGTAATATCCTTGTGTAATGATGAAGATTAGTCGAAATAGAAAAAGGCATAAGCCTAATACTAATTAAGATTATGGCAGGTTATATATGTACAAGAAACAATATATATGATCAATAATGTCTGAACTAATACAAAGATTTGTTTTAAACTAACATGAACAATTACATAAATATAAATTTACGTAAATATAAAAATAGATATAAGCCTAGCACAGACAGAGATATAACACTAAAAGCAATTTACATCAAGAGTTGATAATTATAATTTTAATAATGGTGTGACTTTCAATGATTGTAGGATTTTGTGTTTTTGACTCGCTTTGTCTTCCAACCCGATGAATATGGCAAGATGGATTACACTTTCACTTACCCAACGGTAAGAAGATGCGGTATTTACTTTTTATGTTAAAGAAATATTAAATTTTGTATCTTTCTCAATGTTCAAAGTAAGTTCTTTCCAAAACCCTATCTACTACTATGGCAGATGCAGGTGATGCCCCAGACGGTGCGATCGCACCCACTTAAATTATATTAAGAAAAATAATTGCTGTATTGCTTATGAAAATATTACCGGTAAGATTTTTAACGTACGAGATTGAAATTTTCGGGTACTTTGAGATCCATATATTCTCAAACTTTTCGCACCTTAGTGCCATGGTGGCGCTGATTTGGTGTGGACTATAGAACTCACCCGCCCCAGAACTGAATGTGTTTTATATTATTTTGTAGACCGAATGCTGCTATCAAATGCTCATCTTCAATGACGAGCCGGATCAGTGGCCATACTTAAGAGAACATGAGGATCAACTGGTAAGTACTGTTAGTACCTATAAAGCCCAGCTGTCCAGACTATATTTTATTTCAGACAAAAAACATATGAATGCCTAAATTATGGTCATGATGATATCTTATCATGATCATAGGCACATCATGACTAAATATTGGCATACAACAGGGTTTTTTTCCAATCAAACTTTATTAACATACCAGGCTTCAGTTTCTTGAAATTCAATTTGTAATAAAGTGTCCCTGCGGATTTTCTGGTTGATGGTGCATTGATGCCCCTCCCACTTTTCGTAGAATAGGCTCTAGTTTTACTTAATATGAGTTTGAGTACAAATGCATTTTACCATTCAGCTTGTATTTCCTTTCCAAGTATTTAAATTTGGGATGCACTGCCAACCAATAGAAGTCACTGATCTTTGTCTTTGTGGTTGTCCTAAGCTTTCTCCGTCTTATTTAATTTTGTCTTGCACTGAAAGGAGTGATATCATTATACACTGTAGTGATTTTCAGCGATCACTGGTGTAGTTAGTTAATTTTAGTATGTATTGTGCATTTTATGTCATCTATAAAATAAATGAATTAATTGAACTGAATTAAAACCTGGCATGTTTCGACGCAATTGTCATTGGGAGATGATAAACATGCTTATGCGCTAGGCTATTGGCTAATCACTATAACAGAAGTCCTTGTCAGAAATAGCCTTGATTTTGGCAATTACTGTTGCCTTTACATTCTGCAATAAGTCGTGAATTTTACTAAATTAATTCCATTAATTTAAATTATAATTCTCATCACTGATATTTTTCCAGGATTGCTTTGATAAGAAAGAATTAATTCCTAGTCACCACAATGGCAAAGTGACCCTTAGTACGTCACAGAACTGTGAGATCCGAATCAACAATAACAGCGGAGAAGAGGTAAGATAGTAAGCAGAAGTAGACTACATTGTAATAAGCAATTCTGGGCTTCAGTCGTCTTTAAACTTAAATAAATTAACATAACATATCTTAATAAATTAACATAACATATTTTGCGTTGTAATAACGTTATAATAAAATTTTAGTTTTGTACTCAAAACGTTCCCTAAACTATTTGTATATTTCAGGAATTTTATTGTCACGGTAAACGTCACTTTGACGTCAAAAAAGAACGTTGGTGGTACATTGCAATCGCACATTGTGGTGGAGACGGAATTAACAACTTTAAGTACAACATTGATTTGATTAATGGCGAAACAGCTTTTGACAACCACTTCTCAGCTGACGAACGATGTAAGTCTCTACAGGTTTTTTGTTGTTGTTTTTTTTGTTTTTTTTTTGTGATTTACAATTCTAAATGAGACTGAATAATAATAATAATTATATATAATTTCATTTACCCCAAAATGTAAATTAAAATTTTTAATAACTCATTTTGAATTCTATATATTTTAACATATTTTAAACTAACAGAGTTACTTAACTTATTTTAGATAATTATATTATTATTATTATTATTATTATTATTATTATTATTATTATTATTATTATTATTATTATTATATCATTTACTGCCAACAGACATCCTCCAAACCGACATAACGTTTCTTGGTCTTTACCTGGTAATTTGCGGATGCCTTCTGAAATGCAGAAGTAAGTTAAAATATTATAATTGTTTTTAAAAAAAAACGGAAACCGAATAATTTTTTTTACCGTGACGGTTCTTTACATGTTTGAGCCCCATAATTATTTTGTTTTACAGAGCTGATGTTTCAGCGTCGAATGTTAAACGCCATCTATCGACTGTTCTGCTATTCGTGTTGCCTGCAGACCATTAGCCTTTTCTTCCAGACAATTGCTTTAGGAAAATACGCCAGCAATGGTGTTGGATTTGAACGTCTACGAAAACTTGGTAAGTTGGTTGTTGAGCATAGAATAGGCCTTAGCATCAACACGATTAGAAATGTATATAGAATTGATTTTTGCTACAATAAATGTAACAAGATTAGAACTTATTAAGGTACCGGTAACTAAAATCGTTCGTTATTCCTTTCTAGGCGAAATGATTTCATCCTCATCAACACTTCTCTTTGTTCTGTTACTTATCCTGGTTGCTAAAGGATACACTGTAACTCGGTGAGTAAGATAAGATAAAAATCATATGTAAGCATAGGCGGAATGGGACCCAAATACTTACCGGTCCAGTAAGTAAACTAAGGCACTGGGGGTCACAGGGAGCGCTCTTGTTTCGACACTATGAGTTATTAGTTTTGAATACAATTTCTGAGAGCTTCAGTCGCATATATAAATATGGATGCGGTTTAATATTTTTTAGTGATAATTATCTTAATTAGAATTTTTCCTTTCTAAACAAAGCGTCATATCCAAGAGGAGCATCAGTACCCGACTAACTGAAAGATAAACCAATAAGTTAGTTAGTGAAAACATTAGTTACAAATAAAACGGACATAACTTGTATATTTTCTTGTCATTTGCAGTGCTCGCTTGAGACCAATCACGAGTCTTAAGATTGCAGTCTTCACTTGCTTTTACTTCTTTGCTTACTTTGGACTTTACGCCATGCAGCAACTGTTCTATGACCCACGAGATGTTGTTAACAAGTACGACTCGTTTGCCGGATTTGGAATTGTCATAATGCATTTTATTGGTAATTATTTAGTTTCAATATATTCAATATTCAGACTTATATTTATTTATTCATTCATTCATTCATTCATTCATTCTTTCGTTCATTCATCCGTTTGTCCATTCATTCATTCATTCATTCATTCATCCTCCCCTTTTCCTTTCCGATCCTTCTTTCCATCTTTCCTTCCTTCCTTTTCTCCTTTCTTTTTCTTTCTTTCTTTCAATATTCCGTCCCCTCCTTCATCTATTAATTAATTCTTTCATTCGCACATTTATTTATTTATTTATTCAATTGATTCAACAGTTTCAAAGATATCGGGTACATATCTAAAGCAATTAATAAATCAAGCATGCGCGTCAGTGGATCTACAGTACATAAAATTAAACAACTAAACTGTCAAATAGACACCAATATTTCGGCGAAAACTTAATATCTGCATTACCAACTCATCAACCAATTGAACATTAAAAAGCATAAGTATTACATTAAAAAAGGGAACTATAAAGCTCATAAATTGAGAGAAAATACTGTAATGATTTAAGTGTTTAACTAGTGACGGAACGTTTATATTTCAGGACTGGTTTGGATGTACTACGCTTGTTTCTTCACCATCAAACATAATCGTAGTAAAGCTGTGTTCTACATACCATTCATTGCCATATTTACAACATGGTTCCTCGCTGGTCCCATCACCATCTGGATGTCTAATGAATTCATTGCAAAATGGAAGCGGTAATAATTTAACAATGTTTTATTGAACTAAACTGACTTGCTGACATTTTATCAGAGTATTGGGAAGTCAAGACTAATACTTACTGTACCCTGAAACTTTTAATAATAACCCTAGGTTACTTGATTGTATTTTAGGATGGGTTACTGTTAGAGTACCGGATATTAGAGTAGTGGATACTAAGCTTAATGTAGGCACTTGAAAATAGTAAACCCAGCTTTTCGCGTCCGCAATTTATAGAAATAAAGAACTCAGAAAAATAATGATCATTGAAATATCAAAAGTTATATTGAAATATCCTTATTTTGAATTAAAATTAGAACAGTGCTCTTCATTAAGGAAAATTACCAATAAGTAAGTTAAACAAAAGGAGCATCAACGGCGCAATATGTGATAATGTCTATTTTAAAGAATAAATCTTGCTTTAAAGCGACAAAAATGTTGATTTGAATGTCATTTTGTCTTTAGTTTGGTGATAGTGGGGTTACTAATAGAGTAATGGGTTTATTATTAGAAGGTACCAAACAGTCGGTTTTGTTTTTCTTCAGAGCCAAAATTGTCAGCGGACTCGAAATGACTGCCATCTTTTATGGACACGTGGTATTTCTTCTATTGACCCGACCTGCTGCCAACAACCAATACTTCCCATTTCATCTGAAAACTAACACGGTAGGAAATCAAAATTGTTATTTTAAACCAAAATATAATCATTTAGTATCAATGGTACTATAACAGAATGAACAATGATAACGTCAACAAAACAGGTATACTGGACATACTGGTACAACGTATCCCACTTTATTAAATATAGGCATTTTTCCATTTTTCCTCTCTACAATGAATCATATCTCGTGGGAGTCCTATGGTATATGCAGTGTTTTTTTTTTTTTTTTGGTTTTTTTTTTGTATAATTAATTCCGAAATAAAAAGAAATATTGATTAGTTGGTTTACTGATATACGTTATATAGGCTGAGACAATCTACTGAGAGAAATTAATTTGTTAATAATGTTGTCGTATTGTACTGTTTGCCATTAAAGTGGTTATTTTTTTTCTAAAAAATGCAAGTTAAACTGACGACTTTGTCTCTATCTCCAGGTAATGGAATCCGAATGCCAAGAAACAGTAAACTATGAATCACCTGTCGTACCGATCAACTTCAACAGACATACATCAAATGAGGTCGATATGCTAAGTGTTATGATATTAAAAGTATAATGACAGCAAACATAAATAAACCTCAGACATTTTTGTGAAACTTTGAATTGCCCTTTAAAATAATTTCATAAGTAACTTTCAATAAGACACTAATCGAAAAAAAAACCCCAACTAATTACTCATATTCACTGATACTCATTCAATGTACCGATAGGTGTATTCTATTTTACCAACTATCTTGATGAATTTTTAAAACAACGTTTTTTTTATTGCAGGATGTTACAGTAAAGAGTCCGCCTCCATCCGGGGATGTCAAACGTAGCCTGTCGGCCAAAGATGCCGCGCTTTTACCAAAAGGCCGCTTTATCGTAGTCAAAGCCTATGTTGAATAAGTCACTAATGGGGGTTTCTGCATTCATTTGCTAATTCAAATTTAACGTCTATTTATATTACTCTCAGTTCAGTTGATTTTACCAACTATTTCAAAATTCTATAATAAAATATTGCATTTATAATTATATTTGTATTTGTAATATGAGTCATGATTTATATACTTTCTTTTCTTTTAAATGTAGACATACACATCAATACGGGTTGACCGAAGCTCGTACGTTGAAAGCTTCTAACATCCCCACCATTCACAAACATCACTACACCACTCATTCATCATTGACGGCAAATCGTGTACCTCAGAACGGATATCGGCGCTTTATAATGAGCAAGTTGATTACGGCTAACATGCAACCATTAAAGCAGTTTTATACTAAATAATACAATAACATAAGGCAACCAGGAGGCATCAAGTGTTGTAAGCATGTGAGGGCTTTTAACACTCTATTATTAACATTATTTCGCGTTATTGAACAGCAAGATGTATTGTATGTGATGAGCTCTTGAAGAATGCCTTAATTGCATTGTAGTTTTTGGTTTAGATTATTATATTCAGAACATATTCCCTCGATAGTCTAATAGCATTCCCAGTGGCGTAACAGTTATGAGCTCACACTAGCTAATGCAAGGGATCCAACACTAGAGGAATATTCATCAACATGTTCCATTTTGCCCCAAATCGGACGAGTAGGGTCTTTTAAGGAGCAGAATATATAAAGAAAACATAATAACACATCCTTGGACGTAAAAAAAAAATACCGAAGCGGGGGTTCTCTACCCTGACACAGCCCTTTAGTGTACGTAAGGAAATCTTAGTCTTGGGCCTAGGAGGCTACTTTACGACACACCGAACTTTCCATATTTTTATGTACTGTTAAGTTGGCCCGTAATACATAATTAGGATTTTCTTAGTATATAATCTGTAAATCAGAGAAAATGTTACCAAGAGGTTGCCATTATGCAGTTTATCTTTAACTATCGGGAAGAGATAATGTTTGCATTGCAGATTCAGTGTGTTTGTAAAGTAATACTACGTAGCTTATATTTTCGTAGGGACAAAAACCAATTAGTACGAAAACCCATTAGAAACAGCTTGGACAAGTAGTAAATTCTTACCGAGCCATGGGGCTCATATAGGCTGAAGCTTATTCCCAGTTTCAAGTAAAGTGAACTGGATGAGAGTGTGGTGCTTTCCCAGGTGGGACACTAGTACACCGCATGTTACCTTCCAGTAATTTTCTGGTACCCATTCATACAGCTGGGCAGACTGAAGCAATGTAGATAAAGTGTCTTACGGTCACACGCGAAATACACAGCGAAGGATTGAAACCCCAGCCTCCAGCTCAGAAAACCAAACCATTTCCACTACGCCAAGCCGCTTCCAAATTTAATGAGACTGATCAGAATCAGTTTGTTTAAAAAAAAAAAAAAAAAGCTTTTAACAGTATTTGAGCACTTTTTCTATAATATCATATCAATTTGTGTACATAATGTTTACAATCACTTGCTATGCAGAGTAGGTTACATGGTTTAATTTCCCCTTACATTTTCCTACCCAATTCTCCTTAACATAGAAATATTATGTTTATTGCTTCCATGACCCACTTTTAAATTGCAGTATCCTTGAACATAATTGCTTCTAACGAATTACGTACCGGTATATAATATGAAAGAAAGTGCCTGGGGATTAGATTAACGCCTATACAGCAATAGGTCTCTGTGGTCTAACGGTCTGATACTCCCCTTGAGTAATGAAAGATAGGCTACACATTTTTTGTACAGCTGAAAAATAATTTTTTCGAAGAAGAGCTATGCTTCATGCGATAATAACGTCATAAGCATTGTTTTCTTCAACGATAATACTCTATTATGAACCAATTACTCATTGCGTTCTCAAAACGTCAATATGCAAATTAAGGAAGTATCATGAAAAGTTTTCACACTGTCAAATACAAGCGTTTAGAACGTGATGATTTGGAGACGGGGAAAAATTATAAAACAGAAAATAATTTTAAGGAAATATTTTATCGGAAACTGGAACAGTTTGAACCTGCATGATATTAACCAAAACACACGTTAGCATATTATGTAAACATGTGCATACCCTACTCCAAATAATAATAATAATAATAATAATAATAATAATAATAATAATAATAATAATACTTGAAATAATAACAATGATTAAAATAATATTTAAATAATAATAATAACATTATTTTGCAAAAAAAAATATACAAACAAAATATTAAAATACATTAAAGGTAAAACGCTTTACACAGCACAACAAAATAACAATTATACAAACTTTGCTACCATCTCTGGTCCATTTGAGACTGGGTGTGTGGACCGGACCGAAATGTAAAATGTGTAGAGTGATAGATTATATCATGGGCTCATGCACACTTTATAGGCAACATGCATCATCTGAAGATAACAATTTCTGATTTATATTACAGAAGGCTTATCCAGGTATCTCGTTGAATGATTTATAATCAGAACAACAGATACAGATGTATTTTCTCGATACTATAAAACATTGCAAACAAGGCTGATGAAGATTCATTTATTTTTATTTTATTTTTTTACTTAAAACATATTTATGCAGGATATAACATTTACGAATGGTCCTGCAATAATACTGACAATAAACAACAAACAAGTAGGCAACCAGAAAAATACAATGTAAAATACAAATAGTAAACGCTTTTGGAAAACTATCCCCCGCTGCTGGACACGAACCCGCTATTTCTGAGGCAAGGTTTCCGGGGCCACGAAATACAAGTTTAGGCTTAACTACATCACTTAACATGGTAAAAAACTATCACCCCGGATACCATCCCGATAATTCTGAGTCAAGGTTTCTGGGCCGGGATTACAATTATAAAATTAACTACAAAACTTCTTCACAATGGTAAAAACTATCCCCCACCGGACCCAATCCCGGTAATTTCCATTCATAATGGGAGATAGGCCTATCTCTGACCCAATTGAAGATGAAATTTTCATGTTCTTCCAGATTACGATAACATACCAGAGTGTAAAAACTAGTCTTGGAAACAGCAGCTTTGACATTTTAGTGGTTTAATAAATATCTATAATACCTGCCATGTTAATTCTTACCTACTAACAAGTATCATGAATTTGATAATAATTTAGCAATATACTTTAATATTAGATTCCAGTATTTCATCGGATGAAGTCTTTGAGGCTTATAAAGTTCAATAATTTGAAATATGCTGCAGACGGAATTTGTATAAATAAATACTTAAGCTAGGCGATCCCAATAATAACAAGTTCCATGCTATTAAAAAAGAAATTTCATTTAGGAATATTCCAAGCTAAATTGCGTACCCGTATTTTAACGCCTATTGACAAAAAGAGGGATTAAAAATAATCCAGGCAATTAGGTTGACATTGCAGTTACCAGTAACTTATGTCAACTCTTTTTTTTATTTGTTGCACTAAATTTGCTTAAAAAATAACATACATTTATTTAATTTGCATAACAATGATGTTATAAACAAGACATATTTTCTATAAATAAAAAAAACGCCTCAACGTCTGTAGCTTATTCAATTTGTGTATACAGCTACTTCCAAATTTATCTTATGTGTAAATTTTGTTATCTTATTTAAGTTAGCTGTTTAATAAATAAATCTGTCACTGTATTTTCCTAAAGATCAATAAATATAGCCCTATGCCTATTTATTGTTAAGGATAGGCCTAATTCTTTACTGAATATGCATAATACTGTATATGAATCAAAGATATTTTAAAAATAAAATTGACGTTAAGATAATAAAAATGATAAAACGAATATTATGGAATTATCAAAGGGTGGGTCATCTAATATTCGTCTGGGATTGTCTGGGTTGTAATCCTATATGGTAGATTAATTAAGCTGTCACCTAGACTCAAGGCTCGACCACCGTTGTTGTTATCCTTCACAGGCTTCATCACGCCAAATCAATCTTTTTCTCATGCTGTGTTGCATTATTTCACTCTTCCCATAAATATCGATCTCATATCCTAATCTTTTACGTTGTTTTCCCTTGTTCGTTTTGCCATCCATGGGGTCTGTTACTGTTTGTATTTGTTTGTACTCCTGCTGATATACAAGTTCAACAACCAGATTAAAAACCACTGAGCCATTTTTACCATGATTGTTATTAATATTAATAATAATAATATTAATTTTAATATTATTTTATTTATTTGTATTCATTCCCCTCCTCCACTAGCTTGGCTAGGTCTTTCTACTACTGCTGCCAGTGTGTGGCTATTTTGTATGGGTCGATGAAACATGGGTACCGTACGATATCTCGATAATAGTTAGCCTAATCCTAACCCTCTTCAGCGTAAGGCACCGTATTTTTGGACATAAAATGTGGAGTACCCTGGCTCTACTACTTGGCTAATAGTAGGCCCAGGTTGTATCATCAGTTTCTGTGGTTATTTTTTATGGGATTGTCAATATGCATAGGTCTACGTACGTAGGTACCACGATAGAGCCTAATATAGTTTTTTTGCGGTAATTTAATTACAATTCCCCCTGATGAACTGGTTGTAAAGATAGCCAAAATAGAGGCTTTCGACCCGCTCAAGTTCTCATTATTTTCCATCGATAACATATTTTCCCGTTTCTATTTCATACCCTCTTCGCAGCCGCTGTTTTGTTCCTAAGACGATTTTTTGTTAATCATACCCTTTTCGCAGCCGCTATTTGGTTCCTGAGACGTCTTCGCAGCCGCTATTTGGTTCCTGAGATTCTTTTTGGTAACTGCGCATGCTCGACATGGCTCGATAACGTCACTTACTCAATGCACATGCTCACTGGCTGTCTAGCATTCCAAGCGCATGCTCACTGTGTTTTTATAGATAATTCACGGACGTTATTTGGTAACTGCGCATGCGCATTGCTTAGTTCGGAATTCCCATTTATTCGTAGTAAAAGCTACCGCTACCTACAGTTTCTTAATGACTATTTCCTCTTGATCGTTACAGCCTAAAGGTGCGGAAAATGAGAGATTATAGTCTTGTCTATTATACGGATAACCTTGTTATCCTGTCTAAATTTGAAATTGGTTTGCAAAAAACATCTCGATACGTTGGTTATAATCGATAAAATTAACATTCAACATCAATAAAAGTAACGTTATTTCAAGTATGTAGACTGATTAATGGATCGGTTTAAAATACAAGGACCCTGTGATTTAATTTGTTAAAGAGTATCCCTGGGAATTTTTTTCTCAAACAGGTTTGGTAGCGCTGTTAATGAAGAACAAACTTGCTGCAAAAAAAAAAAAAAAAAAAAAAAAAAAAAAAAAAACTTGCATCCAAAGCTTACTATTTGAAAAAATGATTTACCAGTTTGGTTTCCTATTTTGTCATACGCTATATGAAGAATGGTCACGGTGTGACTGTGTCCTTATAGAAATTAAAACATAGCAATCTTCAAATTTGGTTCAGAACAATAAACAATAATTAAATGGTGACTTCTGTAGTTATCCTATTTTGTTCAAAATGCTTAGTTTTCTCCGCCACTTCCTCCGTCAATATCGCTCCCGGAATGTATAGCGCCTTTCTTTCCAGCTACGAAGCGCTAGCACAGGGGTGGCGCCAGAATTTCTTCTCCCCTTAGGGTCTCTTTGTGTCTGAGTGGGCCGGTAAACCGGTAACAGCTACTCTCGTCTGTCCAGAACAGGGGCTGTATGGACCAGTGCACCGGAGTAATCCCCCTACTCATCTCAAAATATGTACTGGGTTCTTCATAGTGCACGTGTGTCAATGTGTCACACCTCAGTTAGGACACTTAGCCCACATGATGCCCCTAAAGTTTCATTGTGGGCAAATGAAATATATTAGCTCTAGACTAAATTTTGTGCCTAGGTATTGATAGTTTCACTGAGTTTCCAGGAAATCTGCTGATAGATTCTATAAAAATTGGCAGCATAGTATAGTGAAAATCACGGGCCCCGTGACCATTTTCTGGGACCAAGGTTTCACTGCTGATTTAGCATCACTAGGGTATAAATAAGAAATTGAGCGAGGGAGAACCTCCATAAAAAAGGGCGGAACATATTTTTTTGGCGGCCATTTTCAAAATGGCCGCCAAAATTATGATATTGGCTCATAACTTCACTTATACCCAATGAAAAAGGGCAAATTTGGTGTCTAATTATATGTTATTATGGTCACTAAAGCCAATGAGACAGTTTTCGAAAACGTAAAATGGCAGCCATATTGAAACTCAATATAACCGCCTTAAAAATGGTAATAAAATTATTTTTCAGTATAATTCCACATTTCCTCTATGGAAAATGGTAAATTTGGATCTAATCATATGATTTTGGGCTCTCTGAATACAATAAAATTAGTTTCAAAAAGCTAGGATGGTAGTCATTATGAAATTCAAGATGGTCGCCATAAATATCCTGAAAAATCGAATATTTTAGTTTGTAAGTACACTCCTCTGATCAAAAATGCTAAATTTGGTGTTTAAGCATATGTTATTGGACTCTTTGAGTCCAATATACATGGTTTCATATATCTAGGATGGCAGCTATTTTGGAATTCAAATGGCCACCATAAAAAACCATCGAAAATTGAATATTTTGGCATGTAACTACCTAGAACCACCACCGTTACTCCCCCACCCCCAAGTCGGTCTACTCTCTACATTTCCGACCCTCCCAATAAAAATCCTGCGTACGGGGCTGTATATTAACTAATTGAAATTAGTCTATAAAGTACTAGTAGTTTTTTTTTTTATTCATTAGTATACATTTATAAATTATAGGTATAAGTTAGGTGATTACTTTGTTTTTCGGCAGGCGTAATACATTTGAGGTAAAATTCTTGTTTCAGGACCACTGAGAACGTTGTACCATGTTTCCAATAATTGGTACAGTATTATTTAAATTCGCATAAACTCGAATTATACAAAAGCGTTGTGCAAAAAAAATGCCCATTTATGGTATGTGTTACCAGTTGTCGACGATGAGACGGAACAACTACATTGCTGTTCCTGGTGCGGAAAGCCTTGGTATACTTTAGATTTGTATTTTGTCTATGCACAGTTAAAAGTTAAAAGTATTCTACCTGCATTTCTAGTCGTGTTCTTGCTTAGTGAACATTGATTTTATCAAGCTAATTAACTACATTCATCTTCAATGCACCGGTTGGGATACTTAAGCCTGTACTTCTCTTCAATAGTATTAATGTCAGGCATGGCTGAGGTTGAACTTGAGACAGACGAAGAAACGGCAAACTTTTCAATAGAATTAGACACCGACGGTTGCAATACTTCGTTGATTGATCGCTTTTTGATTCAACTAACATTCAATAATAAATACAACTACACTGCTATTTTAGCCTACATTAGCTGTATATTATCAATTGCATTGAACGTTAGCATATTCGTTATTGTTGTATCGGATAAGACATTGAGGAAGAAGGGAAATAACGTTTTTACCGGTTCGTTGGCGCTCTCTGATAGTTTCTTTTCGGTTGCTGTCATTGTATTGGTTTCAATTTGCAGAGCAGAAAGAGAAATGATGTTCCTTTACACGTTCACTGTCTGTTTAACTTTCGCTGGCATCTCTATTCAGACGATTGGGGTTGTTGCTATAGAGAGACTTCTGGTAGTCGTTATTTTTCCTTTTAAGCGTAACATTAACACGCCGAAGAAAATGCTGTTCGTTTGTTTCTGCATCTGGGGATTCTCCATCTCGTTCGCATGCGCTTTGCTTATCACACATAAAGAAGACGAATTTGGGTTTATAATGTCCATCTGGGACGTGGTCATCTTTGTTAATGTGTATGTGTCATATGCTGTGATATACTTGGTTGTGAAAAATCATGATAAGAAAGTAAGCAAGTTCAGAACGCAAGAATTCAACACCTCGAAGAAGCTGCTCAAGACGTTTTCAATCATCATATTCACATGCACTGTTTGTTGGATGCCTATCATCACGCTTACCGTCTTAGACTACTTTGACAAACTTGACTGTAACAAAACTATTTACCCTCATATATTTAATATTAGCTTCATTCTGGCTTTAGCTTATTCCATTGCTAACCCTATAGTGTATGGTTTGAGAATCAATGAACTACGAAATGCTATCGACGAACGTTTCATCAGTTTGCGGAATTTCACTATTGCCCAATAGATATTATACATTCGGTTAAAAATTACGAATACTTAATATATAATTGCTTGTATAGTCTTGTAACAACTTAATGCAATGTGTAATGCAGAATATACTATAACCGATTGACTCAAAATTGTGTATGTGTGCTTATGTGTATACACACACACACGTATATAT